CACTCAAGTGGGGTAAAAGCCCTCCAGAAACGAGCCTCACGCCTCCAGTAAAATGTCCACATCTCCTAGCCAGTCATTTATCTGTTTTCTTCTTCATTGCCCATAATCTTAAATTGTTACATATATCCAAGCAACTATTTTACATATGTGTTATCACCTCAATATTTGCTAGACCTTCTAATCAGGTCAGGCTTGATGAATAACTCTCAAGGAGGGAGACTCGTTTCTCCAGCAGGCTGAGATCATAACAGATGATAATACAGAGCTGTGAAGGTTTCAGTGACTACATATCAGGCACCATAGAAACTGGAGGACAGAAAATTATAGTAGTAGTCATATATAGCCCCCCACGGAATGTCAAAAGACCCAGACAGGAATATGACAGAAACAACTTGGCCACCATCAATATAATAGAGAGAGCAGCTTCTGTAGCTAGCAGGAACGGATCCAGGCTACTAATCTTGGGAGACTTCAACCATGGAAAGATGGATTGGGGGAACAGAGACCCACATGGAGGCCCAGACACATGGAGAGCTAAGCTGCTGGATGTGGCAACAAGAAACTTTCTAAGTCAACACGTCAAGGGACCGACAAGAACGAGAGGAGGGGATGAACCAGCCTTGCTTGATCTGATATTTACCCTAAATGAGTCGGATATAAGTTGGAAGCCCCCTTGGGAATGAGTGATCATAGTGTATTGAGCTTTGAGTACCTGGTTGAGCTAGGAATTGTCACCCCCCAAAACAGAACTGGGAAACAAAGGGCTGGCGTACTGAAAGGGAAACTATGAGGAGATGAATAAATTCGTATGGGATATACATTGGGACACAGAACTCGGAACCAAGTCCGTACAAGACATGATGGACTATGTCACCCAAAAATATCAGGAGGCTGTAAGCAGGTTTGTCCCAGCCCAACAGGAAAAAACAGAGAAGCAAAGGAAGAATCCGTGGTTTAATAGGGAATGTATGAAAGCAAAGGAGCTGAACAAAAGGGCATGGAGGAACTTCCGTAATAACAGAACACCAGAAAGTAGAGAGAGATACCAGAGAACCAGGAACGAGTATGTTAGTGTGAGAAGAGCAGCTGAGAAAAGGTATGAAAATGATATAGCTAATAAAGCCACGACCGAACCAAAGCTACTACACAGTCACATCAGGAGAAAGACAACAGTGAAGGAACAGGGCGATGAAACTTAGGGTGGGCGAGGACAGGTACACAGAGAATGACAAAGAGGTGTGTGAAGAACTCAACAAAAGGTTCCAGGAGGTCTTTACAATAGAACAGGGAGACGTCACGGCGCTAGGAGAGGTGGCAGCAAACCAGGTGACCTTGAAAAGGTTCGAAATTACAAGAGATGAGGTCAAGAAGCACCTATTGGAGCTGGATGTGAGAAAAGCTGTTGGGCCGGATGGAATCTCATCATGGGTATTGAAAGAGTGTGCAGGAGCACTTTGCTTGCCACTCTCCATAGTGTATAGTAGGTCACTGGAAACGGGAGACCTACCAGAAGTATGGAAGACTGCTAATGTAGTACCAATATTTAAAAAGGGTGACAGACAAGAGGCACTGAACTACAGGCCAGTATCCTTAACTTGTATACCATGCAAGGTGATGGAGAAGACTGTGAAAAAAACCTAGTAACACATCTGGAGAGAAGAGACTTCGTGACAACCCATCAACATGGGTTCAGGGAGGGTAAATCTTGCCTTACAGGCCTGATAGAATTCTACAATCAGGTGACAAAGATTAAGCAAGAAAGAGAAGGATGGGCGGACTGCATTTTTTGGACTGTCGGAAAGCCTTTGACACAGTACCCCATAAAAGGTTGATGCATAAGCTGGAGAAACAGGCAGTAGTAACTTGTAGGGCACTCCAGTGGATAAGGGAGTACCTAAGCAATAGGAAGCAGAGAGTTAAGCAGAGAGCAGTGAGGGGTGAGACCTCTGAATGGCGGGAAGTCACCAGTGGAGTCCCACAGGGCTATGTACTTGGACCTATCCTGTTTCTGATATACGTAAATGATCTCCCAGAGGGTATAGACTCATTCCTCTCAATGTTTGCTGACGACGCCAAAATTATGAGAAGGATTAAGACAGAGGAGGACAGCTTAAGGCTTCAAGAAGACCTGGACAAGCTGCAGGAATGGTCGAACAAATGGCTGTTAGAGTTTAACCCAAGCAAATGTAATGTAATGAAGATAGGGGTAGGAAGCAGGAGACCAGATACAAGGTATCACTTGGGAGATGAAATACTTCAAGAGTCAGAGAGAGAGAAAGACCTGGGGGTTGATATCACGCCAGACCTGTCCCCTGAAGCTTATATCAAGAGGATAACATCAGCAGCATATGCCAGGTTGGCTAACATAAGAACGGCCTTTAGAAACTTGTGTAAGGAATCTTTCAGAACATTATATACCACATATGTCAGACCAATCCTGGAGTATGCGGCTCCAGCATGGAGTCCATATCTAGGCAAGCATAAGACTAAACTGGAAAAGGTCAAAAGATTTGCCACCAGACTAGTACCCGAGCTGAGAGGTATGAGCTACGAGGAGAGACTACGGGAATTGAACCTCACTTCGTTGGAAGACAGAAGAGTTAGGGGGGACATGATCACCACATTCAAGATTCTCAAGGGAATCGACAGGGTTGATAAAGACAGGCTATTTAACACAAGGGGCACACGCACTAGGAGACACAGGTGGAAACTGAGTGCCCAAATGAGCCACAGAGATATTAGAAAGAACTTTTTTAGTGTCAGAGTGGTTGACAAATGGAATGCATTAGGAAGCAATGTGGTGGAGGCTGACTCCATACATAGTTTTAAGTGTAGATATGATAGAGCCCAGTAGGCTCAGGAACCTGTACACCTGTTGATTGACGGTTGAGAGGCGGGACCAAAGAGCCAGAGCTCAACCCCCGCAAACACAACTAGGTGAGTACAACTAGGTGAGTACACACACACACATGGTTATATTACTACACACTCACACAGGAATTCCAAGAGGCTCAGGAATTGTTGGTGGAGGGGAAAGTTATTTGTGGGCTTGGTTGTTGTTGTTGTTGTTGTTGTTGTTGTTGTTGTTGTTGTTGTTGTTTTTTGTTTTGTTGTTGTTGTTTTCGTTGGTTGCTGTTGTTATTGTTGTTGATTGTTGTTGTTGGTGGTGTTTGTAGTTGTTGTTGTTATTACTTGTTATTGTTTGTTGTTGTGGTCATGGTTGTTGTTGTTGATGTCTATTGCTGATGTTGTTGGTTGTTGTTGTTTTTGTTGGTCGTGATGGTGTTGGTGGTTGCTGTTGGTGGTGGTGGAGGATAAGAAGGTGAAGGGGGAAGGAGGAGGAAGAGGAGGTCGAGGCGGCCAGTATGCCCTCCATGACCGCGACTCAATTGACAGCATGGGTAGCCAGTGCGTCTACGTCAGTGTGACGTCTCCAGTGACGACTATTCTTTATGTAAGGTACAATACAATAGGTGAACCTATGGTGAACAACGTACCACGTTATTCACCACAGGCCCACACAGGTCTTGCTAAGTTATTCACCATAGCCCCCACACATGAATCGCTAAGTTATTCACCATAGCCCCACACAGGTCTTGCTAAGTTATTCACCATAGCCCTACACAGGTCTTGCTAAGTTATTCACCACAGGCCCACACAGGTCTTGCTAAGTTATTCACCATAGCCCCCACACATGAATCGCTAAGTTATTCCCCATAGCCCTACACAGGTCTCGCTAAGTTATTCACCGTAGCCCCACACAGGTCTTGCTAAGTTATTCTCCATAGCCCCCACACATGAATCGCTAAGTTATTCACCATAGCCCCACACAGGTCTTTCTAAGTTATTCACCATAGCCCTACACAGGTCTTGCTAAGTTATTCACCACAGGCCCACACAGGTCTTGCTAAGTTATTCACCATAGCCCCCACACATGAATCGCTAAGTTATTCCCCATAGCCCCACACAGGTCTCGCTAAGTTATTCACCGTAGCCCCACACAGGTCTTGCTAAGTTATTCACCATAGCCCCACACAGATCTTGCTAAGCTATTCACCATAGCCCCCATACATGTATCACAAAGTTATTCACCATAGCCCCACACAGGTCTCGCTAAGTTATTCACCATAGCCCCACACAGGTCTTGCTAAGTTATTCACCATAGCCCCACACAGATCTTGCTAAGCTATTCACCATAGCCCCCACAAATGTATCACTAAGTTATTCACCATAGCCCCACACATGTATCACTAAGTTATTCACCATAGCCCCCACACAGATCTTGCTAAGCTATTCACCATAGCCCCACACAGGTCTCGCAAAGTTATTCACCATAGCCCCACACAGGTCTCGCTAAGTTATTCACCGTAGGCCCACACAGGTTTCGCTAAGTTATTAACCATAGACCCACACAGGTCTCACTAAGTTATTCACCATAGCCCCCACACAGGTCTCGCTAAGTTATTCACCATAGCCCCTCACAGGTCTCGCAAAGTTATTCACCCCACACAGGTCTCGCTAAGTTATTCACCATAGCCCCACACAGGTCTCACTAAGTTATTCACCATAGCCCTACACAGGTTTTGCTAAGTTATTCACCATAGCCCCACACAGGTCTTGCTAAGTTATTCACCATATCTCCACACAGGTCTCGCTAAGTTTTTCACCATAGGCTCAAAAGGTCTTACTAAGTTATTTACCGTAGGCCCACACAGGTATCACTAAATTATTAACCATAGGCCCACACAGGTCTCACTAAGTTATTCACCATAGGCCCACATAGGTCTCGCTAAGTTATTAACCATAGGCCCATACAGGTCTTGCTAAGTTATTCAGTTATTCACCATAAGTCTTGCTAAATTAAATCTCACTTCTCGTGAATTAACATCAAACACAATTTTCTTTGCGGATTAAAGAATAATTATCGACTGTAAATTTGTTATATAAATTATCGACTTGAGTATAATGCTGATAATCTTGAGAGAGACAGTGATACTGACCATCTTCGGTGTCGGGCTTCTCCTCGCTTGGAGTCCCCGGCTCAGGTCCTTCTTGGACCAGATCACGACGAGAGTTTGGTCCTGGCTAAGCCAGGCCCCAGGGAGGTCCTGTTCCTGCATGAGCCAGGCCCCAGGGAAGCCCAGTTCCTGCTTGAACCAGGCTCTGGTGATGTCCAGGTCCTGCTTGAACCAGGCTCTGGTAATGTCCAGGTCCTGCTTGAACCAGGCTCTGGTAATGTCCAGGTCCTGCTTGAACCTGACTTTGGGGAAGGCCATGTCCTGCTTGATCCAGGCTCTGGGGAAGGCCATATCCTGTTTGATCCAGGCTCTGGGGAAGGCCATGTCCTGTTTGATCCAGGCTCTGGGGAAGGCCATGTCCTGTTTGATCCAGGCTCTGGGGAAGGCCATGTCCTGTTTGATCCAGGCTCTGGGGAAGGCCATGTCCTGCTTGAACCAGGTTCTGGGGAAGTCCGGCTCCTGCATGAGCCAGGCACCGGAGAAGTCCAGATCCTTCATGAGCCAGGCCCCGGGGAAGTCCGGCTCCTGCTTGAACCAGGCTCCGGGGAAGTATAGGTCCCGCAGGAGAAAGGCCCCATGGAAATCCAGTTCCTGCATGAGCCAGGTCCCAGGAAAGTCCAGGTCGTGCTTGAACCAGGTTCCGGGAGAGTCCAAGGGTGACCAGGTCACGACCCGCGTGGAGACCCACACTTGCGGTAACATGTGTGTCTTGTGGAGGTGGCTCGCCACCTTACCAATGGTCGGCAGGCTGGTCCCAGACCATGTAAAGGTCCATGTGGAGGGCAGCTGGACCTGACTGCCTACCCTTGACTCCGTCCTGTGTCTGATGCCCTTCAGGAGGCACCGCCTGCCGTAGATGGACGAGCGGCTCGAGTCCTCAATGGAGGGCCCAAGACTATACACAGTCACCTTCCCAAAGACCACAAGCACAAAGACCAGATGCTCGAAGGCCGCATATAGAGAGGCCACATGAGCAGAGGCCAGAGGTGCAGTGAACAGAGGCGCAAAGGCCAGAAGCGTAAAGGTCAAACGCACATCGAGCAGATGGACTTGTGCTCGAAAATTCTTCGTCTGTGTCTGCATCCTCGTGGCCCTTCTTCTTGGTGTTTGTTTTGTGATGAGCATTATGCAGAGGTGCGATTGTTCTACCACCACCCGTCTCAGCCTTCACAACCACCTCAGCCCTCACCCCCACCTCAACCCCAAAGCATACCAAAGCCTCCCAACTTACCTTAGCCCCCAAACTTCTCTCAGCCCCAAGGCCCACCAAAGCCTCCCTACCTACCTCAGCCCTCGCACCCACTAAAGCCCACCAAAGACGTAGTGAGACCACACTACCACTGTTCATGCCGGGGTAGATGCTCCCTGAAGGTTGAAAGTAGATCATCGCCGAACGTTCCTCTGAGCCAAGTGGAGGCGCACACCTGACAGGGACTCCAACCACACCTGACAGAGACTTCAACCACACCTGACAGGGATACCCAGACCTCACTGACTTTGATCAGGTAAGTAACCCTCTCACCCTTGACCTCGTATGGAGTGAAAGAAGAGGAAGAGTAGTGGTGGTGGCTGCAGACTCCACCACTGCCCTCCTCCTTGTCTCATTCTGCACCAGGCCAAACAGGAAAGGTGAGGAAGGGAAACTAACCTTCTTGTCAATTGGTTGAGTGGAGGTGCAGTTAATCGTTAGCGTGAGTACACTTCGTTAATCGCTAGCGTGAGTACACTTGGTTAATCGCAAGCGTGAGTACACTTGGTTAATCGCAAGCGTGAGTATACTACGTTAATCGCTAGCGTTAGTACACTTCGTTAATCGCTAGCGTGAGTACACTTCGTTAATCGCTAGCGTGAGTACACTTGGTTAATCGCTAGCGTGAGTACACTTGGTTAATCGCTAGCGTGAGTACACTTGGTTAATCGCTAGCGTGAGTACACTTGGTTAATCGCTAGCGTGAGTACACTTGGTTAATCGCTATTTTAAGTACACTTCGTTAATCGCTGGCGTGAGTACACTTGGTGAATTGCTAGCGGAAGTAGGCATCCATCAGTCTCAGGAGACTATGGAGTTGCGCTCTGGTTGTCGGTCTGGAGTGGCCTCACCAGGGCGCAAAGCCAGGGTAGGTTGATTCGGAGGAGAAGCTGTTACCCACGCAGCAGGTCCCCCTCTCTCCACGGCGCTGAAAGTCTCCAATGGAAAGGCATACGCCAATACGATAGCGATTAACCGAATGTACACTTCGTTAATCGCTAGCATGAGCACACTTGGTTAATCGCTAGCGTATGTACACTCGGTTAATCGCTAGCATGATTACACTTGGTTAATCGCTTGCATGATTACACTTGGTTAATCGCTAGCATGAGTACTCTTGGTTATTTGCTAGCGCGTGTACATTTGGTTAATCGCTAGCAAGAGTAGACTTGGATAATCGCTAGGGCGAGTACACTTGGTTAATCACTAGTGTGAGTACACTTGGTTAATCACTAGTTTGAGTACACTTGGTTAATCAGTAGTGGTAGGCATCCAAGTGTACTCACACTAGTGATTAACTAAGTGTACTCGCCCTAGTGAGTACACACAATCAGTAGCACTTGATTAACAATGTGATTAACAATTAACAGCTGTTCATTGCTAACACATGTAAACTGGATTAATCGCTAGCGCGTTTACACGAGGTTAATCGCTAGCGTGAGTACACTTGGGTAATCACTAGTGGGAGTACACTTGGGTAATCGCTAGCGTGAGTACACTTGGGTAATCGCTAGTGGGAGTACACTTGGGTAATCGCTAGTGGGAGTACACTTGGGTAATCGCTAGCGTGAGTACACTTGGGTAATCACTAGCGGGAGTACACTTGGGTAATCGCTAGCGTGAGTACACTTGGGTAATCACTAGTGGGAGTACACTTGGGTAATCACTAGTGGGAGTACACTTGGGTAATCGCTAGCGTGAGTACACTTGGGTAATCACTAGAGGGAGTACACTTGGGTAATCGCTAGCGTGAGTACACTTGGGTAATCACTAGTGGGAGTACACTTGGGTAATCGCTAGCGTGAGTACACTTGGGTAATCGCTAGTGGGAGTACACTTGGGTAATCGCTAGCGTGAGTACACTTGGGAAATCGTACACTTGGGAAATCGCTAGTGGGAGTACACTTGGCTAATCGCTAGCGTGAGTACACTTGGGTAATCACTAGTGGGAGTACACTTGGGTAATCGCTAGCGTGAGTACACTTGGGTAATCGCTAGTGGGAGTACACTTGGGTAATCGCTAGTGGGAGTACACTTGGGTAATCGCTAGTGGGAGTACACTTGGGTACTCGCTAGCGTGAGCACACTTGGGTAATCGCTAACGGGAGTACACTTGGGTAATCGCTAGCGGGAGTACACTTTGTTAATTGCTTGCGCATGTACACTTGGTTAATCGCTAGTGCGTGTACACTTGGTTAATCGCTAGCGCGTGTACACAAGGTTAATTGCTAGCGTGAGTACACTTGGGTAATTGCTAACGTGAGTATACTTGGGTAATTGCTTACGTGAGTATACTTGATTGAGAATAATTTTGTGTGATAATTTTTAATTCATTATTTTCACTCTTTCTTTACTTGGTCGTGAAGGAACCCTTTCTCGGGTGAAAGAAGGATGTGATGATCTCTGTCTGGAACCCGTAGTTGCGTACAGGACTTCCATCTCCTGGGGCTCGTTCGGCCCAGGTTCTGCTTCAGGAGGCTGGGGTCGTTCTTGACCTTGCTGGGATGGCTCTTCTGCGGCCTCGACCACGGCGGTCTCCGAGTCTGGAGACCCCAAGCGCGTGTACATGTGTAACTTAGGCGAGTAGTACTAGGCATCGCTAGTACGTGTACACATGGTCTGTTATAGCATGTACACTTGGTCCACTACAGCGTGTACACATGGTATGTTAGTGTGTGCACACTAGGTTAGTCACTAGTGTTTGTGCACTAGAGGATAATTTTTAACTAATAATTATCACTCTTCCTTTTGCTTAGTCTTGAAGGAAGCCGACCTCAGGTGGAAGAAGGATGTGATGAACTCTGTAACCCTTAGTTGCGGCACTGGGACTTCCACCTCCTGGGACTCGTTCGGCCCAGGTTCCGCCCCACCCTCGCTCGCTCGCTCCAATGTTACCATGTCCTACCAATAAGAATTCTTTGTGCATATATTTTTATATCATGATAAATTCTTTAATGTACTTAATTCATATTATCTATTATTATTATGTAAGGTTGTGTATTATAATCTTTACTCTGTTGTATATTAAATTAGAAGTTCATGATCGAGTTATGTCTGTAAATGAACTTGAGAGATTTGAAAGTTGAGGGTCAGTTGACTCATGGAGTTGGATCGTGTGTCGCGCCCCGGCCAGCCTGGCTGAAGGTTGCACTCCACTTTGACCATTCCAACCGAGCGCATCCGTGGCGTGACGGTCCGAGATTAGTGACCTTATTTGTGTATTGTGATGCTAGATTAATTGTCATGTAACATTATGTATTACCATTGTCCTGACCTGAGGGGGGTTGGGGATTATGGAGCTTACACCTCCATAGAGCTCTGGTTACTGCACCAGTTCTAGAGTACTTGTAGCTTTCTCAGGAGATCACCCTGTACGCCTCTTGATCTTGGAGAGGGGTTCAGCGCCACATATCTAGGGGGTGCAGCTTCAACACTGGCCTCGTTGTTCTGTGCACACACACCCTACTTGAGCCGCCGTGACTCCCCACTCTCTCCTTGTTCAGAATGATCTTCTCAATATCCCTTTTCTGAATTAGTATTCCTTACCACCCTGTGATCTTTTCTCTCTCTCTCTCTCTCTGTTTTATGGGAAGCCTCACCAGGACACGGGGAAACACCTGTTAACTATACATATTTAATAAACAAAGAACATGTATAGTACACTACATAAAAGAGATGAAAGTATTAACATAAGATACTTCAAGTTACTACAACTTGGATGCAATCCAATACCATACCATGGCTTCACCAGCTATCTATATCAAGTGGTCGCCCAACTCCTGGCTTGATACTTATTACTCCCTCACCAAGTGAGGGAGTAATATATATATATATATGTATATATATATATATATATATATATATATATATATATATATATATATATATATATATATATATATATATATATATATATATATATATATATATATATATATATATATATATATTTATATGGAAATCCACAGAGAAATATGAAATGAGGTGAACGTTTCGGCTTTGTTAAAGCCTTTGTCAACACCAGACTGACTGAGGAGAAGGGAGAAGGGGGGAAGATATATAGGCCGACACCTGACCAACCCATCCCAAGGGTTGGTCAGGTGTAATTAACCAAAAACAGGTAAAGCTTAGCTTAGAATGGTCAAAGAGGATTAAGCGGTCAGAGAATAAGGATGAAAGATTAAAGAAAAGCCTCATGAACACACAATATATGAATATACAAATATAATGAGACATTGTAAGCCTCTCTATCAGAGTTGTTTCTTAAACTGTTGTGCAATAGAGAGAAACAACTCTGATAGAGAGGCTTACAATGTCTCATTATATTTGTATATTCATATATTGTGTGTTCATGAGGCTTTTCTTTAATCTTTCATCCTTATTCTCTGACCGCTTAATCCTCTTTGACCATTCTAAGCTAAGCTTTACCTGTTTTTGGTTAATTACACCTGACCAACCCTTGGGATGGGTTGGTCAGGTGTCGGCCTATATATCTTCCCCCCTTCTCCCTTCTCCTCAGTCAGTCTGGTGTTGACAAAGGCTTTAACAAAGCCGAAACGTTCACCTCATTTCATATTTCTCTGTGGATTTTCCACATAAAATGATCAGTGTTTTGTGATCGTCAATTGCATATATATATATATATATATATATATATATATATATATATATATATATATATATATATATATGTCGTACCTAGTAGCCAGAACGCACTTCTCAGCCTACTATGCAAGGCCCGATTTGCCTAATAAGCCAAGTTTTCATGAATTATTAGTTTTTCGACTACCTAACCTACCTAACCTTGACTGTTACATCTAGAAAGGGCAGCTTC